GTACAGAGCTGCTCTGGGCTGGCAAGGAGAGGCACCCACTGTCCTAGAAAAAACAAACGAGGAGAAGGCGGCCAACAAAGTCCTGGGGAAAGGCAGCAGGACCCACTGCTTGGAAAAAGAGTTTGAGTTGGAGAGAGAATAATCACCTCCTCAGCATCATGAGCCACCCCTCGGCTCCCTCCCCTCCAGGAGGATGCATCCCAGCGGATGCTCGGGGATGCGCTGCAGGTGCAGACAGAGACCGTGGGCAGTGAGGCAAGGCAGGACCAACTCACAGTTGCTCTTGCCACAGGAGACAAAATGAGATAAAGGAAAAAAAAAACTTAAAAAATGTTAAGACAGCTATAAAAAAGCCTGCTTTTAAATGCAGCCTGAGCTGTGAGTTCTCCCAGTGGCAATGTCGGATTGGTGCAATGGTGCTGGAAGCATCTCTCAGCTCTTTGAACATGTGTTTCCTCCAAGTCAGTTCTTTTGTCTGCGAGTACGATAAACGGTCTGTAGTTCTGCAAAGCATTTTGAGGCTAAAAGTCAGTCACCAACAATGATTTCAGAGGCAGGACAGCCTGGAAAAGCTGAAGCCCCAGAGCTGTGCCTGCAACCATCATACCTTGTGTGGCTGGGGATGCAGCAGGCACTGGGGGCTCTGGGGGCCCAGGCTGCATCACCCTGAATTTCCCCCTGTGGTTTTGCCACTTGCTGCTGAAGAAAAGTCACAAATGCAGCCGGCACAGCCCCGGTGTACCCATCCCCGAAAAGTGTCCCTAAAGGTGTCACGTTCTCCTCGTGGCCCCAATTTCTCCCTTGTCACCCAGTACCTGGCGCTGGCTCCTCAGGTGCTTTTCTTCCCGATTCCCCCGGGACCATCCAGCGGGAAGCAGTTGCAAACCCACTCCCTGTGTTGACGTTTCCTTCATTCAAGGACAGGCGATCACCGCGGCAGCCCCGATCCTCCCTCACCCCCTCCCTGCCCCGTGACGCTGGTGAAGGGTGTGAACCCTGGAGCGCGAAAATGAAGGTTATCCTTGGGGAAAAATAAATGATTAAGTTTAATGGCCCTGTTGCTGCTCTGATGGCTATCGCATCCCACGGGGTGTTTATGTCCCCCTTCCTGGCCTCGGTGCAGAACTGGGGCAGGAAGGGGAGATGTGGGCGTAGAAGCTGCTCCACCCTCAACCCTATTTACACCAAATAAACTGGCAACTCCCAGCAGGCTGGCACTCTCCTTAAAAGTCCAGGGAGGTGATGGGAGCAGAGAGGACCTGGCATCAGGTTGCGCAGGAGCCCGGGCACATGCTGCAGGTGGGGGTCAGCCTGCCCCACTCCCCCGTCCCCATGGCCGAGCTGCCTGAGGGTGATAACATGGGCACAGAGCAAGGTGAGTGAGCTGCAGCCAGGGAAGGCTGCATGTCTGGCGCTGAGGAGGATGCTGGAGGCTTGAATGGACCCACAGTTCCTTCCCCAGTGTGCCCAGGGATGTCCCTGAGAGGGCAGAGCTGGAGGCATCAGGCAGCACGCCGGGCTGGGTGGGCTCAGGGTGGTGCTCCTCAGTATTTTGGGCAGGGCAGCACCTTTGTGATATGGCCAGCTGCAAGGATGAGGTGAATTTGGGGACTGTGGAGGTGCAAACAACCCTGTTTGAACCACACTGCTCATTTTAGCCTGGTGTTTGTGCCTAGAAGCCGGCAGGACTGTACTCAGGGTCTGTCTGTCTTCCAAGTCGGTGTCAGGCTGAGCAGCAACCGGTTAAAACTGCTGCCCTTCCCCTGAACCAAAACTGAACCCGATCTGCGGGTTTTGCTGGACTTGAGCAGGGACCAAACAGAACTGGAGAGCAGGAGCCAGAGCCAGACCCTGCCTGGGAGCAGCCTGGGTGCCCAAACTCCCTCTATGCGATACCACATGCTGCCACGCACAGAGCACAGCAATGGGACTGTATTGGCCCTCCATGTGCCCTTGGGACCAGAGCAGAGAGATTTAGCTCGGTGCAGATCCATCCTGGACTCCTCAAGCAAACTGAGAAGATAAACACTAATGTGTGTGCTAATCAACTTCGTCCTCGACAATTAATCCTTGCCCAGCAGAACTCACTCTCTCGGAGACAAGTCCCATCTCCTTGTACAGGGTTTGGAGCTGAGCTCTCTTGCAACCCCAAGGAAAATGCTGCTCTCTTCTCTCTAGGAGGAGCTCAAACTCTGCTCTTCCCAGCACAGGGCTGGTGGCTGCTACAGCCCTACCACAGTGCCGTGTGCTGGAGACACCCCCGAACCTTCTGTCTCCAAGAAGCTTCCTAGATGTTTGCCAGCCCCTGCGTGTGGGGGTCTTTCCAGATCCATGGGAGCATGTGGGAAATGGGGACCCTTTGGCAGCCCGCAGGTCCTCCCTGTACCCTTGGCGAGCCCCTCTCGCTGCAGCACCTTCTCCTTGCACCGTCTCGCTGGCACCAGAGCAGCCAGAAGGGTCAGGAGGCAGGAGACTTTTGCAGGTGACTTTGGGAGGAAGCAGTGAGAGGGAGGGTAAACACCTGAGGCCGGCTTTGTGTGCTTCATCTGGGCTTGTAGCAGCCTGATCCTGGGCTGCCAAACCCAGACAGGACATTGTCTCCTTCCCCGCTCTGTCCTTGAGAGGGGACACGATGCAAATGGTCCCTCTTGAACCCAGCATCACTTGGGCCCCCACTGCCTGTGAGGTCCCATCTCGCCCCTGCAGAGCTGGGCTGGGACTGGGCTGCTCGCTACCCTGGGTGGTGTAACCCTGCTGTCCCCTGGTCATCCCCTGGGACAGGGGCTGTGTCCCTGCTCTCTGCCCTTCCCTCTCAGCAGGTGACAGGCTGGGATGGCAGGAGCTGTTTGAGGGGTGTAAAGCCCCTCACAACGTGGAGAAGCAGCCCCAACACCCAGATGGTACCTGCCCCGACTCTTCCCTGAGCAGGTGAGGGCAAAGCGAGCAGCTCTAGCCCTGAAAACCTTCCCTTTGCAGGGAGGAGAAGTATTGAAATACAAGGTGTTTCTATAAGACTTCAAAGCACTGTCAGCCAGGGTGAAATGCTGTCAGCTGAGGCAGTGAAGCATGTTAAATAAAAGGTCTTTGTCCTACAGAGATGTTTGGCTCCTCTCCCGTCACTGTTGTGATCACGTCCGAGGCTGACACTTGGGATATTGACGCCTCCTCTTGTCTGGGCTGTGGACAGTTCGTGGATTGGGACAGGATGCCAGACCCAGAGCAACAGGCACACATCCCCCGAGACATCCTCAGCAAGCCCCCGAAGGAGCTGAAGAAGCTGGCAAGAGAAGGCTACTGGGCAACGAGCCGCGCTCTGAGAGCTCAGGTCTACCACCAGCTCATCCAGCAGGTCACCTGCCGGCTGGTCACCCCAGATGCTCTTGTCTACAGGGATGTGGCGAGTCGGCTCTTTGGGAAGCCAAGTGTGAGCTCCCACCCTTTGCCTGAGTTCCTGGAAGGATGCTCCATGCCCACGTACTGCCTCAACCTGGAAGGAGTCACCGCCTTGAAGAAGATCCTCATCTGTGTTGGCAACCTTTTCCCTGACATAACCTACAGCCCGATCCTCCCCTCTCTGGTGGCTCTGTTGCTGCACTATAGCGAAGATGAAGCCCAGTGCTTCGAGAACATCTCTCGCCTCATCGCCAGCAACGCTCCCCACACCAGCTACATTGATCAGTCTTTCCTGGCTCACCAGGCCTCCTGCATGACTTTTGGGGATCTGGCCAACAAGCACTGTCCGGCAGCTCACAAACTCATAGCCAGCACCTCTGAGAACGTCTTTGAGGTCTACCGCGAATGGTTATCGTGGCTCTTTCACGACCTCCCCTTCAGTTATGCCATTCGCGTCTTTGATGTCTACCTGCTGGAGGGGCAAAAGGTCCTTTACCGCATCGCTCTGGCCTTGCTGAAGCAGTACAGGCTCTCAGTGACCTCCGCCGAGCTGGAGGGGACCGACATCAAGGCAGACCTGCAGGCTTTCATGCAGAACATTGCTGAGCATGTGACTGTTGACAAACTCCTAGAGAGAGCCTTTGGCATCCGGCTGTTCTCCCGCAAGGAAATCTGGCTTCTCCAGATGGCCAACAGGAAGGCGTTAATGGAGAGGGGCATAACCATGGTGCAGAGCAGGTAAGGAGACCTCTCTGTTTGCCAGCTCCTGGGGCTAAGCAGACAAAATATGAACTGGAGTGGTGATACAGCATGGGAGCAGCTTCAGGTATCTCCCGTAGCTTTGGCTGTGCTGCGTGTGTCATAGGCCCTCAGGGGGACACTGTGAGGATGCACTGTACAGTCAGAGCTAGTGATGTTAACAGAAAGCTCACGATGCAAAAAGCATGGCAAAACCTGATGCGCGAGGGCTTCACTCCTTAAAATCAGATCGGCACCCCAGCTTGGCAGTAATGGTCATCCTCCCTCATGCAGGCAGTCCTTCCACCTGGCTGTGGACATGCAGAACTTCAGCTCCAGCATTGTAACGGCTCAGGAGATGCGCATCATCTGGTCCTGGATCCCCGAGCGCTTCTCCCTCTTCCCTCCACTGCTGCTCTTCTCCACCTCAGAAGATGGGTGCAGCCTGCAAAGGTAAAGCATCCTCTGCCCACCAGGTTGGGTCTGGTCGGATAAGCCAGGCGTAAAACTAGGTGGAGGTCACTGGTGTAGAAAGGAGCAACATGTAGGGTCCATGGGATACATCCGAGGTCTCCTGGGGACTCTCTTGGGCTTGATTCAAGATCTTGAGTGTGGTCTCAGCCTGCGCTGGCTGTAGCAGAGAGGGCTGAGGCTCAGTCAGATGGCAATCGGCAACTCAGCACTGTGGGGGAAGATTGAGCCCTGGGGATGCGCTGCAGGAGGATGTCCCCATGTGCTACACCAGGTCAGGCACGCTACGATCAGCTGGGTCCAGCCAGGTCGCCATCCCCACGGTTTCAGCTCTCTCCCAGCAGCTTGAAGCACAGAATGGCTGCTGGACGCTGCAGTCAGTGCTGCGGCTCAAAACTGAGATGGAAAACAAATTTACCATTGACTTGCCAAGCTGTGAAGAGGCAAAAGCCTTTCAGCAGGCTGAGGCTGTCTTTGTGTGAATGTTTTCAGGCATGAAACCCAAACCCGCTTCTCTGTAGGCGCATGTTAAACTGAGAGGTTGCACTCACAGAGCAGGCAGAGCTCCGGGCAGGGGCAGACAGCACTGGGTATGGCTAGCCTGCAGTGGGAAAGACATCAAACCATCTAAACACAAATTAAGAGAGCCCAGGTGTCATGGCCAATGCCAAAAATTGCAGTAGAAAGACCAGTGTTAGTGCTGGAGACAGCCCAGGGCCCGGTGACACCCTCCGCCATGGCCACAGAGCAAAGGTGCAGTGGGAAGCAGGGACGTCCCCACAACATATGGTGCTGGGGCATTTTTCTGCTAAGATGCAGCTCAGTGCCAACTGAGAAGGGGCACTGGGCTGTCCAGGAACAGGGTGCTGCCCATACCACCCCAGTTCTCAGGGTGGTGTTCAAAGTTGGGGCTGCAATGGTGTCATAGAATCATTAAGGTTGGAAAAAAATCTCTGAGATCATCAAGTCCAACCATCAACCCAACACCACCGTGACCACTACACAATGTCCTGAAGTGCCATGTCTACACATTTTTTGAATGCCTCCAGGGCTGATGACTCCCTGGGCAGCCTGTTCCAGGGCTTCACCACTCTTTCAGGAAAGAATTTTTTTCCTCATATCCAAGCTAAACCTCCCCTGGTGCAAAATGAGGCCATTTACTCTTGTTCTATCATTTGTTACTTGGGATAAGAGACCAAAGCAGTGCCCCCATTAGCACCCCAAGTGTGTTCCCCAAGCCCCTGAGAGGTGAACGGGCACCCCATGGCACTGCGGTGCAGCCATGTCCTGGAAAGCAGAGCCCTGCACCTTTCCAAGGCAGCAACCCAAGCAGAGCCCAGATTATGAAAAGCATCCAGATTAAAAGGAAGCTCATTCAGTAAACTCCCTCCGTGAAGCATCCCCCCTCCCCAGCCCAGTGCCTGAGGGTAGAGTGAGAGGATTTAGTGGTTGGATTTATCTGAGCTATTACCTGCTTCAGTGAGCAAAAATGATGACTTGAGAAGTCCCATAAGCCAACTCCCTCCTTCCCTGCACAAACATCGAAGCTGCTTGAGCTACATGATTACGGATTTCTGCTCTTGTCCTTCCACGAGCTCCCTTGGGCCAGCTGCCAGCACAGTCATAGGCTGAGAAGAGCCACCCCTGCTCTCCACTGTCTTTTGCTGGCCACTCGCCCGGGCTCTTGGCGTGGCATGCTGCTCCCAGGTCTCAGACTCCCACCCACTCCACCTCCTTGTTCACCTCTGCAGGTTTTACACGTGCTGTGAAGGCTACGAACCAACGGTGCTGCTCATAAAAACCACAGAAGGAGAGGTAAGTGGTCCCCGAGCAGAGAAGTGGGCTGCGCTGGTGCCGATTTGGAGAAGGGGACAAGGGTGGTTGACCCCACCAGCATTTCTTGGAGCAGCCGTGATTCTGTGTGGTCCCTCTCCTGCCCTGCCCCGGTGTTTGCCCCAGCTCCCAGGAGAGAACAAACTGCACCACAAGCCACATGAGACACAGGCTGGTCTGAAGGTTGCTGCAGGGGGAAACAGAGGAGTCAGTGAGATGGGCAGAGGCCACAAGCAATACTCACTTATTGCAGACTAAATCACAAAGTCCTTGCTAAGGAGACTTTCCTGAAGTCCTCAGATGCTTTGCCTGAGCCAGGATTTGCTTTTAATGCATTAAATGCAAGGATCTCTCTCTCTGATTGCAAAAGCAGCCACACGGGAAATGGAGGAGAAATAAGGACAGCTTCTACGATATCTGAAAGTTGTGAAATAACTGCAGAAAAAGCCCTGAGCCAGGCCTCTTCCCAGGGACTCAGAATGGCTCATAAACCTGTATTTTCTCTCTCCACTCCTCATCAAACAGAGGAGGCAAGTTCTGTAAATTGTTCAGGCACCTCAAAGATTTATTGACCGACCAGTCCTGATTTCCCAAGCCTGACACTTGAGCGTGGTGTGGAGACAAACACCCTGCCACCCCCTTATACCTGGTGCAGACAAGAGAAGGTGACTTATAAAACCTTCTTTCTTACATATTTTGGCTTGTTTCCATCCTTAGTTGTACCAAGGACAGGCAGGAGTTCCCACCTCTCAGTAGGTTTCTCCAGCCATGGTCAAGTCAAGGACATCCACACCAGTGAGTCGTCAGGGGGTTTAGCTGCTGTATCAGAATTTGGCTCTCCAGTTCCCACGGGGACCCTGCAGAGCCCTCGCCCTCATGAACACACACATGACAACCAGTATTTCTGGGGCTCGCCCCAGCCACAGCCGTCCCATCGACTGACGACTCCCTGTGCTCTCTCCTGAAGGTCTGTGGGGCATTTCTCTCCTCCGACTGGAGCGAAAGGAAAAAGAGTGGGGCCACATTGGGCTTTTTTGGGACCGGGGAGTGCTTTGTCTTTACTGTAAGTCACATTTTATTTCTGGGTTTATACTTAGGTGTTTGCCTGTTAATTATTTTTTCCTTTACCCCTCTGACAACTCGGGCCACAGTGGCACTGAGGTGCTTCCTTACCACAGTCCCACCGCTGCCCTTTAGCTCGGGCTGGAGGCAGAAGCACAGAAATTGCTGTGCTGGGTCAGAGATAACAGAGAACAAGCTCCTGCTTTTTGGGAACTGGCTGGCCCCCAGCCACTGAGGCAAGGTGCAGTAACCCCAGGTAGGCCTTTGAGCATCCTCCCGAGATGACAGCGGGGCAGGTTTCTGCCCTGTTTGCTCAGGGCAGCTCCTGAGTGGAGCACTTCCAAATCAGATCTGGCATCCCTGCAGAGGAAACAGGCTGAGTTAGTCCAAGAGATCCTGGGGAAAAAGTCCAGCATCCATCTGGTATCCCACTGGCATCCACTCAGTGATGAGAGCAATAAAGGCTTGCCCCTCTCTGGTAGCACCTGGCAAAGACAAAACCAACTTTTCAGCCACAGCCACCTCCACAGCAGCCCTGGCACTGCCAGGACAGGACACTTTGTCCCTGCCCTGCCCCAGGTTCGGACCTGGCACACAGCATTCGGCCCCTGACCCACCTTGCCAGGCAGCACCGTCTTCCCCCAGCCACGGGAAGATTCTCCAAAGGACAGGGCTCACCACGCTTCTCCTGCTTTCCAGGTGCGCCCTGAGACAGAGAGGTATGAGTGGGTGTTCATCAAGAAGCCCGAGCTGGCCAAAGCTGTGCCGCGCTCACGTCAGCGGTCACCTTCCCCTTCTCCTGCATCCCCCCTCAGCTCCTCCCCGGACAGCCGCAACACCAGCTCAAACCGTCTCACCGTGCCCACGCCGCAGAGGAAAAGCCGTCTCTCCCCGTTTCTGGCCATCAGGCATTTCCTCTTGCCTTCCAAAACAGCCTCCATGTTCATGTCTGGGTCTCGCGAAGGGATCATTATTGGTAATTACAGAACGGTGGGCACCCGCCCACCAACATGCTGCTGCTTTGGACAAGAAGGGCTCTAAACCAGATTATAATCTGAGCTTCCCATGGAGGCAAGACCCACCTAGTTTTGGACAGGAACTTAAAGTCAGGGAAGATGAAGTCATCCCTCTCTTCCTCAAATTAGCAGGAGAATGCAAAGCTGCACTAGGGCAAGGATGCTCCTTCTGAAAGCCCCCAAGGGGCTCTGCCAGCTGAGGGGGAGCAACAAAGCCCAAACCTCCTAGTGAGGTTTGTACCCTTGGGACCGGCAAATCCTTTCCTAGCCCTTCCTTCTGCTTCCTGTGGGATGGAGATGAGATGTAGGTGGGGATCCCATCACCCAGAGCAGACATGTCAGCTCTCTGCTCCGTGCTGCCATCTGCAACGTCATGCTTGGGCACAGGGGTTCAACCTTTGTGCCTCACCGCTGCCGGAGGAGCGCAGCGTGCCAGAAATGCCCGCAGCACCAGGGGCTGCCTCCACCTCCCTTCCAGCCCTCGGGATCAGGATCAGGGCAAGCCTGGCTGTGGGGATGCGAGGAGCTCTCCTTGTTCTCCAGCCCTCCAAGCCGTTTAATAATTCAGCTCGTGCTACCAGGGCAACACTGGCTGCCCTGCAGAGAGATCCACGCGGACATCCTGATTTTGCAGAGAAGGCACCTCAGAGTGGCCCCAGACCAGCTCCTTGCTGTAGCCGAAGGACATAAGGTTTCAAACTGAAAGAGAGTAGATTTAGATTAGTTATTAGGAAAAAATTCTCTCCGTAAGGGTGGTGAGACACTGGCACAGGTTGCCCAAAGAAATTGTGGCAGCCCCCTCCCTGGAAGTGTCCAAGGCCAGGTTGGCTGAGGCCTTGAGCAACCTGGTCTGGCAGGAGGTGTCCCTGCCCATGGCAGGGGGTTGGAACTAGATGATCCTTAAGGTCCCCTCCAACCCAAACCATTCTAGGCTTCTGTGATGCTGTGACAGAGAGCTGAGAGATGGGAGCAGTCCTGGGAGATCTCGTGGGCTGGGCCGGTGTCCCTGCTTGGGCAGTGGGGCAGGGAGAGCAGATTCTGATGGTCTTGCTTGCTTTTGCAGGTGGAGGGGGAGGCCAAGCTCTGTCCCTCGACGCCGACCTGCTCTGGGGACACACGGAGCACTGTGACACTTTCGACAACCCTCCGCTTTGCCAGGAGAACTTCAAGGTGCAGCTCTTGGAAGTGTGGGGCTTTCAAAACACCTAGGTCCTGCGGGCGACAGCCCCTCACCGTGACCCCACGGACATGCAGATCCCGTGCTGCTCTGGCCACCAGCCCGGCCTGCCCGCTGCTGTCCATGCCGGCAGCACCACCAGCACCTCCATCCTCCCCTCCACGGCCATGGTGGTGTGGAGAGAGGGCAATGCAGTGCCAGGAACAGGGCCATGGGCACCGCCTCTGGGTACGTCTGAGGTCCCCTCCTGCAGTTTAGACCCAGCCTGCTCCACTCAGTCTGTCCCAGTTTAGGATGCTGGAGGGCAGGGGAGCCAGTCCAGTGTCTCACAGCTCCCTGGCCTGTTTGTGGCCTGGGGCTTAACAGCAAAGTGGTGCTACCAGAGCACAGGCAGATTTTATAGGAATTTTGAGCCTAGGCAAAACCTAACATGGAGATACAAAGCTCACCAGAAATGCTCTCTGACCCTGCTTCCCTGTGGTCCCAAACCCAGCACCACCCTTCAAGCCATATGCAGAGTTTTGTAGCCTCTGCGGGTTACCAGGACTCCCTGGGATCACACACTGGGCACCATCCAGCAGTGCAAGATGCTTTTTGTCCACAGCTGAAACTGCTGATCAGTGATTAGCAAAGTCCTACTCGGTGTTTATACACTGGCAGCCAACAAAACCCCCCTCAGCCGTGTACACGCCTTCTTTTTTTGTATTAAACTGAGGATCTCTATTCACTGCAAAGGGTTCTGTTCACTTCAAAGGCTGACGTAAGGCTGCGAGCAGCAAATACACAGGAGCTTTAACTGATGTGCCCCAAATACCTGGGGTCAGGACAACAGGAGACGTGCCATTTTAAAACATGAAATGTGAACGCATAGGTGTAGCTCGGTCAGACGAGGTAACCCTCTCAGGAGGGATGCAGGCCACGGAGATATCATTCTGGCTGCAGGATGAGAACGTCTCTCACATCCAAATATACTTCCCACTCGTGGTTTTACCTTTCATACCTTGAGCTATTCAGAGTAGGAGTTATTGCTGCCTCGGGCCTGCTTCCAGTGATGGGAGGGGGACATGGGCAGGACGGCAGTAAGCTCACACAACGGCCATGCAGGGGACCCAGGAATTGCTTGTAGCCTCCAAAGAGTTCCTGGGTACGACGAGGAGGTGAGGCTCAGCCCTCCGCTCCCTCAGACCTGGCCTTCCTGCACAGAGCTTGAATGAAAGAACACCGCGGGATTACTCTTT